CGGTAATAGCAGACACCAGATGCTTAACAGCCTGCAGAAAAGATTAATTCCCAAAGATGCAGTTGGGAATAAGTTGCAACACAACTGCAGTTATCTGACATAATGAAAGCAAATCTACTAATTTCACTAATAAAAGAGAAATAAACCTGAACAGACAAATCACTACAAGTTAAAGAGCTAATTTCCCATTAATCATGAACTAAATTCTCTCAGTTGCACATAAAAACAACCTCATGCTCTAATAATAAGTGAATGGAAAGAAGCTAAGAGGAGCATTGCATATCTAAAAGCTCTACAAGGTGTTGGAAACATGACTGAAACCACATGTGGAAATGTACAAGATAAACAGGAGCGAGCTCAGCTGGGGTAACAGCGCTCAGAGGCCTTGAGCCAGAAAAAATACAACATAAGGATCCAGACTGAGGGCCCTGGAGCAGAAAGCCCTGGGAAAGTTAGCCTGGATTACTCAGAAGAGTTGAACAGAAAGTTCCAATCATGAAGGCAGCATCAAAACATCAATGACAGGCTTATAAAGGTCATATTTAAACTGAGTTTTTAAAAAAATAACTAAAAACTTGGACTGGATATTAGCCTTTATCTAAGAGGTCTGTGGGTCGGACATATTCTGTGTTGGAATTATAATTTCATCCACCTTTAACCATTTGGTGCAAATGTCCATTAAAGAATTGAGCTAAATAGAAATCCCACTCTGACTTGCATTATGTCAATTTGCAGGATCTCTATTACTAAACAGAAACAAGGTATCAGATTGTCAATATTTCAACCTAAGAAACCTTTCTAGAAGTCTTAATTGCACCAATAGTTAGCATGCTATCTGTAGCTTCGTTTCCATTGCAAATATACACAAAACTAAGTCAATATTCTGCTAAATTTGAAAATGCTTTGGGAAACATGTTTTTTTTCCATTAAATAACAAATACAATTGAAATTGCACAAGAATTTGTTTGTTAACGAGACTCTGGAAGCAACATATGGTGCAGTGGTGGATCAATATTTCAGCCGCGGCTCTAGTGGGCGCCATCATCCTCCAGTTAATACTTGTCGTCTTGTTTTTACAACGCAGTAGGATCAAGCTGCAAATTGCGTGACTCGTGTGATGCAGAGTGTTTCCAGGGAAATAAAAGAATAATAAAAAAAAAGAATTTTATCTAACCTTGAAAACGTATAGTTTTATTGGAATTGTGGAGCTTCCAGGTTAGCAAACGTATTTTCGGAATTATAATTGACGCAATTTGATGCACCTTGTCACAAAGCATTTAGCTAAAGATTAATAGCCAAAGTATTTTAGTTTCGGAAAAGGCGAAATCTTTATCATTATCAACCATGCGAACATCTCTATAAGCCTTCATTACACAGCTAGCAAGTTAATGTTGACAACGTAACAGTTTAAGGATTTTACAGAAACTTAAAATGTACTGTAATGTTGTACAGTGGTAAAAATGAGGCAACCAAATGCTGCATTTTACCACCAGTGCTAACATACAGAGATACATCATTAATTATGCTGTTATTGTTACTAAGCCAATTAGAATATTGTTAGATCAATCATCTTATTCCCAGTAGAGGGATAATTAGCCAATTGTAGCATAAAATGGGTAATAAAGGTATGCTGAACTGTAACAACTATAATGTTCAGATAAAGATGCTGAACAGATAATGTTTGGCATCATTCCTGTAAAACTTTAGCATTTTAAAATGATGACAATAAACAGCAGGAATCACATGGTCAAATAAAGAGCTGCTTATTCATTTGTTAATTTGTTTATAAAGTGGTTCTGGTGCAAAACCAGAATAAGTGTAACAGAGAACCGAATGGTTCTGAGCTAGCTACCAAGAAAGGAAAAAGAAAGAAAATCAATGTTTGCAGAGTGTCTGCAGAAGGGGCGGAGGGACATTTGCCTTCACTGTGACACACAGACAGACGACCTGGTGTCTGAGTATAAATCAGCCTTTAGCCCCAACAAGATCACTCTACCAACAAATGCAAACACTGTTGTAACTTAAGTGTCTATAAAGGATCAACATGCTGAAACATGTTGACCGACAGTAGATTTGATTGGATATTCCTGCTAAGAGCCTTTACAAATCTGGTGTTAAACAACAGTGTGTGTTTCTAAACCAAACAGACATTGAAGACTGATCCCTGATTATCCATCTATCAGCAAGAAGGTTCTGGGTTCGATTCCTGGCCCGGGGTCTTTCTGCATGGAATTTGCATGTTCTCCCTGAGTATGCTTGGGTTCTCTCCGGGTTCTCCGTCTTCCTCCCACAGTCCAAAAACATGACTGTTAGGTTAATTGGCTTCTTTGGCAATTTGAGATTATGGTGTGCAGCCTCTGCGATGGACTGGCGACCTGTCCAGGGTGTTCCACGCCACTCGCCCGTAGACAGCTGGAGGTAGGCACCAGCACCCCTCGCGACCCCCTTGCGAACTGAACCGGGCCATGCCAGACACAACCGAACCGCGCTAAACTGGTACTAGTTCATCAGAGAGCTCGGCGCGGTTCAGTTCTGGCTCAGCTGAGTTAAGATAACAGATAACAAAGTCCGCATGTGCTGACTGCGTCATCTCCTTACAGTCAGCCTCCGTAATCATGAAATTTCAGACATTCAAAAAAATACTAGCTTCCCTACTGCGCCACACGATTTCCAGTGATGATTTTGCTTAGTGTGATAAACCTCAACATCTATCGTAATTTTCTGCGTCTCTAAGCCCTAATTATACTATTGTTTGTCATATCCACTTCCCAAAAGCCGACTCAAAGGCTACCTTCTTCGCCTGACTCTCTGCAAACAACAAAATATCATAGTTATGTCATGGCCACCGCTTGATTTGCTTGATTCCCTCCTTCAATCCTAGAGAGCAGTAGTACTGTAGATCATCACTAGGAGGCGTGGAACCGTGCAAACGTGATGTGTAAACGGCCCGAACTCGGCACAGATCGGTTTCAGAGGGGTAGCTTAATGGGGCAATAGTAACTTGGACTCGATTTTATTTAAAACAACACGGCAAATGCAGCAGAAAGTCGGAGCTTTCATATTAGGACACAAATAATTTTGCAACTGTTATGATATTTTTGTAATTAATTCAGAGTAAAAGAATAAACTTAAAAATATAACAACAAAGGTAAATTTTATTTAATTGCTCAAGCACTACTTCCCTTTAACCCAATTAAATAAAGTAAAACTTTCTTGTAATTTTTCTATAATATCTAAAGCACCCTAAAAAAAAAAAAAGACATGAGTCGAGCCTTCTGTCTTCTTTAATCAGTTGGAGCTGCTCTCCAAACACTTGAGCTGTTGTTTAACAAGATGCTGCAGGGCAGAACTCTTCAGAAAACCTTCAAAAACAATCCACAATCTTTCAAACAACTCTCCCCGGCAGAGCCAATATGCTTTCAACCAAAACAAAGAGGGTTAAACTTCTAAACAAAACCACTGTTTACACTTGCCAAACTCATTTAGAGTGTCCGACACTTATAGATTTCTATGTAAACACCTTAACCACCATCTGTGTCATCTGTTGTTTTTGACAGAAATTCTTACCATTAGTGCTTCCTAATATTTTCTGAAGCTCTCAGAGTTTTAGAATTATTGTTGTTTCTATATGAGAGAAAAACAAACGATGGTCTTTCCACATCCTGATTCTCTATTAACAGTCCTATTTCCTTTTATTGCCGTCTCCTGCGCATTCATATTGAAAGAAGTTTGATAAGATTTGCATAAAATTCATAACCAGATTATATTTAATGATGCATGTTGTAGAGTGATAAGCGTTAGATGTGAAATTGGCCTTTTCTGCATCCAACCTAAAACCTGCATCTGTGCACAAGGCGGTCTACAAGCAGACCTGCTTTTCTCAGGATATGTTACAACAGCGCCCCTTGGTGGTCATACCATCTATGCAACTCAACTATTTTTCTTTAAATATTATTATTAAACGTACTTAAAGGAATAGTACACCCAAAACATGATTAGGCTTCATTTTCTACTCACCCCCATGCTGAACAACACTCTGGAGTACTTTTTTGATATCTCAAATGCATCTGGAGATCTGGGAGGCTTCTTGCTGTCTGCTGACATTCAAATAATGGAGGTCTATTGTGCCCGAGACAGAAAGGTCTATAAAAGTCCACAAAAACGTGTCAATATTCCTCCATGCTGCTCGTCCAATGTATTCCAAGTGTCCTGAGTGGGTAGCATCCAGAATTTACTCGAAATGAAGTCATTTAGAATGTTTTTAGAGCATAAACAGTAGTGTATAGTATTTCCTAAAAGCGCGTTCACGAGTCTACGGAAACCGCGGCAGACCAAACCAGACGAAAGTGCGCATTCAGCTCGGCAAAGAACTCCTGCTCTTCCTCAACACTGAAGTCCTCAGACATTTTTCTTTCGTTGTTTCTTTGTTTGCACAGGTAAACAGCACATTTCTTCTTCTACGCTTGCATTATCGGCAGAGCAGACGCTGAATGCGCACTTTCATCTGGTTTGGTCTGCCGGCTTCCGTAGCGTCCTGAATGCGCTGGTGCGCGCTTTCAGGAAATACTATACACTACTGTTTATGCTCTAAAAACATTCTAAATGACTTCGTTTCGAGTAAATTCTGGATGCTACCCACTCAGGTCACTTGGAATACATTGGACGAGCAGTATGGAGGAATATTGACACGTTTTTGTGGACTTTTATGGACCTTTCTGTCTCGGGCACCGTAGACCTCCATTATGTGAATGTCAGCAGACAGAAAGAAGCCTCCCAGATCTCCAGATGCATTTGAGATATCAAAAAAGTACTCCAGAGTTTTGTTCAGCATTGGGGTGAGTAGAAAATGAAGGCTAATCATGTTTTGGGTGTACTATTCCTTTAAATTTAAGAAGATCAGTTTTGTCACATTCTCTATAATCATGGTGGAAAAGTCCTAAAGATTTTTCCTAAACCTAGAACTGGGTGAAGCACAGTAGAGAGAGGAAACGTTAGCAAACCTGTTCTTTTTAGAGCGTTCATCTTTCCCTCTCTTCACGCCAAAGATCCTTGTGATAAGAGTGCTGAAGAGAAGTGTGGAAGAGTTCCTCACCTGGAAAACGAGGAGGGAAAAAAGACAGGATAGAAAGTAAGAAATAGCAATGTTTTATCGATGTGGATTTTAAAATTCCTGATAAAGCTGAGGTTTAAAACTCACCGCCCATACAGGAGAAGTGAATCCCAGCACTGCAGCCTGCATTCCATCTGAGACAAAGGGAATAATGTTTTCCCCCAAACGAGTGTCCCTGTACAGAGCTCTGAGGATGTTCAGAGCGTGCACCTGAAATGAGACGACAGCATACTTTAGCTTCTCAGAAATACAACAGGATGGTTTTTATCAGGGAAAAGAACCAACCTGAGGTACAGTGGAGCTGTCTGTGTTCCTTTCTGCAGACGGCATGGCCAGAGCGATCAGCTCCCTCATGGTCATCTTCAGCAGGCTGCAGCTGGATGACTTGGGCTCCGAGGAGAGCAGAGCCTGTGGCCAAGATAAAAAGGTAACAGAGCAACTGTTAGAAAATATAACATGCTAACCAGATCAACGTTTAATCAAGTATAGCCTTCCTGGCAGACTTCAGCAGACATTCGCACCCCTTAGCTACAGTTTCCAAAAAACAAAAAGGTCTCATTGTTTGAAGACATTAACCAGCAGAAGGGGAAAAATCTGAGGCCAGTGTTTATTGCTTGTTTACACAAACAGCAAATAAGGCTTCAGAGTTCAGATGGAGCATCAGAATGGAGAAGAAATTCCTTTCTTGGCGCCACAATATCAAAAACTGCTGATCAAGAATTTTAATTAAATTAAATTCAGTTTATTTACATAGCGCTATCATACATTCCAACTGATTGAAAGTTCAAATCATTTAATCGAAGGGAATCCCTCACACTAAGCATGCTTGTAGCGACAGTGGAGAGGAAAAACTCCCTTTTAACAGGAAGAAAGCTCCAGCAGAACCAGGCTTGAGCACAAACTTTCATGGATAACCTGAGAATGCAATAAAAAAATAGGATAAAACTAGACATAGAGTGCAACATTTTTGGCTAATAGTTTTTTCTTGTGTCGTTATCAACAGATACGTGAGGCATGAGATGGCCGATCAATTAACGCATTCAGTAGGAACCTTAAGAGCCCTCCATCATTAATGCTTGGTTTGGGATGCAAATAAATGTTTCTTTATCGTTTTAGACTTGTGAAATTTTTATTATTGTACAATTTGTATTCCATAAGTGGATGAAAAAAGGACATCATCTGCTCCAAGATTTGGTCAAAAATATCGACACATATTGGGGATCAGATGGACTGATGTCAAAATAATCAGTACCTACAGAAATGTATTAAATATGACCCGGTTAGCTTTTGTGCGTCCGATTTTATAAAACATTCAGGTTTAAGCAGGAAGACAGTTTATAATACAGAAGCTCAAATAAACCAAAGGCCAATATTTATAGTTCGATGAGTTTTAATTCAGCTCAAGCATTAAGATGTTAGGATAGGACTTAAAACAAATCACTGATTCTGACTGTTAGTGAAAGAGTAAAGATGTGAGGTATACTTTCTTAGCACCTCGGGGCTCTGAATGCCAGCTAACTTTCTCCCTGAGCATTGCACCATCCATGTGTATCCCTTTATGACCTCAATAGCCCCATCTACTGATTGTAACCTCCTGGAGGGTAATGCATCAGCTCAGAAAGTTTAAAATAAAACTTCCACCAACTTCTTTCTCAAACATGACCATAAGCTCACTGATAGGTTGATAGAAACAAAGATGTAGCTGAAACAGTTTAATCAGCTTCTGTTTGTATGTGACAATAATCTACTTTCTTTGTTTAGCTGCAGCAGAAAATCTTCGTCCTCCAATTAAAACATGCAGGATTTTCTACGATCCTGGTCTAGAATGTGGAGGGATAAAACCACAAGACCAAAAACAGAACTGTACCACACCATGATTCTGCCACCACCCCATTTCACTGTGGTAGCGGCAGCATGATGCTGAGGGCTTTTTTTTTTCTCTCTAGATGAACATTGGTGTTTAATCCAAGCAAATGGGTTTATAAACAGTTAAGATTACGATTAAAGATTGTTTAATTTTCCTGAATCACAGGGAGGCATAAGATTTCTGCAAAAGAAAGGACTTCATGAGAGGGAAACTCAGGATTTCTGAGTCTCTCACCTAAAAGGTTGGACTAGAAGACAGGTCTTTAATCCATAATATATAGAAACTAGAAAAAATACAAAGAAATCCACCTAAAATAGACTGAGGTTTGGAATTCAGATAATCTGCGTCATCAAATAATTAGTTATGGATGTGAACAATCAGTTTATTACAGCTTTTTAATATTTGTCATAATCCCCCCATTCCAGGATGGCCATTATTGGTTGAATAGTAAACAATGTGTCACATTAAAGGTGGAAAAGCTATGAAATCCTGAATCCTTGTGTAATGAAAAGCAAAAGAGAGCTGTTTTCAATCCGATCACTGATAATAGGTATGACCTCGATGACTGAGAATCTAAACTAATGCAAAACAAGGCTGTTTGTTGCCTTTTTATGGCTCTGATCTAAACTCCAGCTGTGCTTCATTCACATAAAGGAGCAGATCCGCAACATTTGTCAGTACTGATACGTTTAACGAGTTACATCATCGCTGTTTGCCAGAGATGGGAGCAGGGGGATATGGGAGCTGCTGCATGAGCAACGAGTTATCTTACTGTGGGAGCTGATGGGAGCCAGCTGTGTCAGGGCTGGGATGCTGTCTGGATTTAAGCCTTGCAGGACAGGATGGAGAAATGGAGAGAAAGGAAGAAGCAGAGGAGGAGGAGACGGGGGCATGATCTGGCACTAGGGAGTGTTGTGTTATCCTGGTTCCTGAGAACCAGTCTAAACCAGCATGAGGCAGGCACAGAAGCCAGCCTGCGATGATCAGACTCTTCCTCTCAGGGTAAAGGAATGCAGGTATGGATTTCTACCCTCCACAGACTTCCCCTCCTTTCACCATCACTATATCTTCCAGGTCCAAAACAAAAAGGTATACAGAGTGATCCAAACTGCTCCAGATCATAAAAGGCCCACTAATAAGAGCCTTTTAAACCCTCGATTCAAAGCAAAACCAGTGGTTTTATGTCATCCTGGCACCAAAACATAAAGGCATCAGAGAGCCAGTGATGTCACAGGGTTAGGTTAGCTTCAAAAACCACAAGGAGGAAGAACTGGGCTTAGAAATCCCAGCAGCGATGAAACATTAAGGCTGTCGTGTCTCGTTTTAATACCGGTAATAAGAGGAAGTTTAGGGGGTCGAGCTGTGGCTCAGTTACACACCGAGTCACCGATCCAGACAGAAGATATAATCCAATATTAGCCTCTAAAATAATACTAATCTAACCTCTATTAACAATAAGATGGACCCAGACAGCCATAGCTTTCAGCTCGCTGAGGTTTGCAGACATTCATTTCTGCAGCTTTCTCTTTAGGCTCTGCCTCACGTAATGGACCGAACTTTGACTGGACCGTCTCCATTCTTTCCTTTTCAGTCTGCTGTGCTGCTGTGTTTGAGTCATGGTCGATTATAAGACTACAAGAGGTACAGGTTCAAACTAATCAGTCCCAAAGTAAAAAAAAAAGTAATCTAAGAAAGTACATTTTTCTTAAAATAAGTCGATTTTTAAGCAGAAAAAGTGAGACGCTTTGCCAATCAAGTGAAAAAATTTACATTTAAAATAAGAAAAAGCACCTGCATTGTCTTATTTAGGTGCATAACATATAATTATCTTCTTTTAAAGGCAAAAATACAAATTCTTTTGGCAAATCATTTAATTTACCTGCTCAGGTTAAAGCCAAACACATTTATTTTAAGAGAAGTTTGCTTATTTTTAGGATGTTTTTGCAGTATACCATCCCCATTGCCAACTGATATGAGGTGTTTTGAGGTTTTCTCATTCTTGTGCTTCTAATTGTCCTTTCATCGTTTGGTAAATACTATCCAAGTCCTGTAAGGAAAGCTCCTGTAAGAGCCTGGGGTACATTTTCTTTATAAAATGGTACAAGATTCTTTAGAAAGTGACTTAAGCAACAAAAAGATGTTAGTGCTCTTGCACACTTGAGGTTAGATTTAAATCCCTTTAGAATGTGGTAAAGACCAGTTCATTTTCATTAAACCCTCAATATCCAAAAATCCTAGAACTGTAAGCTAGATGTGCCAAACAAATACCTGGTGTCAAGCTGTACTAACAGGAAACCTCTGAGCACTGTGTAAACTGAACTTAAGGACCTTTGCCGTCCGCCAACTGGTTTGTTGCGCTGAGAAGAGCTTTATTTTTAAAACATAAAATAGTTACAGACTCTTGAAATCATCCACATGTCTTTAAAAACCAATGCTGGAACATCTCAAGCACCCTCCTGAAACTCTTGTGCTTCGAGTATCGTTTACCTGGATGTAGAAGGGTATCCCTGCGCTTCGACGTGTGGCACACAGTTTCGATGTCGGGTCACTGGATTTAACCTCTTCCAGAACCTCGGATAGCCAGCGGGAGGGAAGCTGCTGCAAAGCCTGACTGCCGCTCCTTTATAACACAAAAAGATCACTCAGTCGGAAGAAAAAGGCATGTACTCCATTATCCTCATAACTATGTCTACTGTACATCTAATTACGGTTATTTAACATTAAAAAACACAAACCAAACTGTTTTTAGTTGGTAGGTTATTCTGATACTCGGTAGAGCTTTACTGTGAAGGGAAAGGAAGTTCGGTTTTTAACATTTTCTCCATAAACAAATTGTGGAAAATGTCTGTAAAATCAGCACCACACAATATTCTGCAGAACCTAATTTTCCTGCACTTATAGCTGGAACTCCTTTGGACCAAGTTTGGTCCATTTCTACTTAATAAAACAGGTGAAGCTCAGTCGGATTCCATAGAATATTTGGAAAGATTAACCTTAAACTCAGTCAGATTAAGTCTGGACTTTGACTAGGCCATTTGAACACATGTCAAGTTTCTTATTTTCTTTAGTCCAACTGTTTTTAATATTCTTTTTTGTTTCTGCATTTTTTATTTTTTTGTTTTTTTTCCTACTTGCTTTGATTCTGTTTTATTTTCCTATATTTTAATCATGTAAAGCACTTTGCATTGTCTTTGTACTGAATTGTGCTATACAGATACATTTGCCTTGCCTTGCCTTACCAGCATGTGCTAAGATTCAAAGAGTGAAGCAGCGAAGGAAACAAGCAAAGGAGGAGGAAAGGAAACAAAAGAAGAATGAAAGGATGAAGGAAAATTGAAAAGGAAATAAGAACTGAAGGAAGGAAGCAATAAAGGAAGCAAGGGAAACTAAGTAAAAAGGAAGAAAGAAAAGGAGAAAGTAAGAAGGAATAAGGAAAGGAAAACGATAAAAAATAAGGAAGGAAAAGACGAAACACTTGGCAGATGCCAAGTATCAAGATTTACACATGGAAACCCTGATGAACATGTTCATCTTTTTTGGACCATAGAAGCATAAGCATCATCAGGCACATGACAATTAATATGAAATAATGCATTTTAAATCTTTAGTGTAAATTTACCAAGTAAAAACAAACTCAGACATTTTTAATATGAGAGAGATGACAGAGGAAATCTGTTTTTCTATGGAGCTTCATTCAGTGTGACATCCAGGAGCTGAAATCAGTGAATAAGGACACCAGAGCTTCCCTTTCCACTTTTAACATCTGACTATTGACAATAAAGACAACAAATGCATGACGAGCAAAGAGGTGATTTTTAAAAAGTGTTTTTCATCTTTGAGTTGAATACCTCACAGAACAATCTGGGTTCCTGTTGCAGCTAAATGTGCAAATCTGACCAGAAAATTTAGTAAAAGAAAAAGAAAGTGAGGAGAAACAGAGGAAGTGGAGGCAGCAGAAGATAGGGAAGGTCAGAGTCACAGTAGAGACGCAGTGAGGGAGTGAAAACATGGAGGAACGCAGCAAAGCCAGAGCATCAAAGGCCTGTGGTGAGGCACCCCGCAATCAACACCCTGTAAACCAGCACACGGTCTGCATACCATCCACACAGAGCTGCTCGCCTCACACCAGCTCACAGCGCCAGAAGAGAAAACACACACTCCCAGCTCTCCCTACACAACCACCAGGATCTGGCCCTCATCACAAAACTTACAGAGAGAGACGCTGGTTTCTGCAGAAGAACAAAACAAGTGAGTGCTTTTCTGAGGACTGGGTGGTTCAAAGTCAACACCACTGCGGCGGTGGCGTGCTTCGTCACCTGCCGCAAAGCTGTGGACCATTTCCACTCAATGGAGGAAAACAGGGAGGAGCAGAAATCTATCATGTTAATAGAGGAATTATTCCAACAATGTCCCCTACACTTTATGGCCCTGCTGGTAAAAATGAAACATTTTCTATTGTAGTGCCATGACCTCAAGGCAAGCTGTCATTTTAGCACATTTACTGAGACAGAAATATCAAACAATATAAATGTAGTTAAAATAATTTTAGTTTTATTTGAACCATATATGTTTGAGTTGCTGCGATGGACTGGCGACCTGTCCAGGGTGTACCCCGCCTCTCGCCCATTGACAGCTGGAGATAGGCATCAGCACCCCTTGCCACCCCAATTGGGACAAGCGTGTCAGATAATGGATGGATGGACGTTTAAGTTGATCGGAGCAAAGACAGGAGAACATGGCAATAATCTTTTTTCACCAGCGTTTTATTATCATTACTAAGTCACCAGTACAGAGCAACTAAATAAACTCTGGATTTAACCCATCCCCATGGGGAGCAGTGGGCTGCCATTGTTCAGCGGCCAGGGAGCAATCATGGGTTAAGGGTCTTTGCTCAGAGACCCAGAGTGGCAGTCTGTTGGAGTGGGGCTAAAACTCAGAACCTCAGGATTCCAAGTGCAATGCCCTAACCACTAGGCCGCCACTCCCCTATAAGGATATAAGTGCAGATATGTGAAGCTTGCCTGATGAGAACATTTATTTACAGTGGCATGCAAAAGTATTCACCTCCCTGAACTGGTTTAATCTTACAACTAGAAACATGAATGTCTTCTATTTGGAACTTAGTGTGTTGGATCAACAAAAACATTGGGCATAATAGTGAAGCCTTTTTTTGTGCTACTGTATAAAACCTCGAACTCAACGCTATTCCTGACATTTTGAATTGAAAAAGCTTCCTGGATGGGAAGCGAAACGTCTTCAAACTCAGAAACCAATTTCAGTGGATTGCTTTTAATTTTTTGGGACTCACAAAATGAACAAATAGAAATGCCCACCATAGTTCATATAGTGTATATCAATCAGGTACCAGCTACCCTCCATCATGTTTTCTGGGCGTGCCCAAAGATGATACAGTTCTGGTCTCTAATTTTTGACACGTTTTCTTACATTTGTGAGAGAGATAAATCTTCCCCCCAAAATTGTTATATTTGGTGTGACCTCTGAAGGGATGGTGACATCAATTGCACAATCAGATGCCTTTGCCTTTTCATCTCTATTGGCCTGACGTCTTATTTTGTGTAACGGGAAGTCAGAGAGACCTCACAGACACAGGCGATGGGTTGAGGATGTAATGGCACATTTAAAACCTGAGAAAATGCATCATCCGACCAGGAGATCAACCCAGAGGTTTTGTAAAGTCTGGCAGCCATTTCTAAATTACTTTCAGTTAGGCTCTATAGCTCTACTGTAACATGCCGATATTGATGTATCCATTTCTATTTCTAATATTATTGTTGTTTTTTTCTCTTACAAGCTTCTTATTTGTATATGTTACTTGATTTTTGTTTTCCATTGTTATTGTTATTTTATTGGTTATGTTGGAAGTGTTGATTGGTTGTTATTATGTATGTATAATTCAAAAAACAATAAAAAGATTTGATTAATAATAATTCATTAAAACAGGTGGGTAAACTGGATTGGGTATAGCAGGTTCAGAAGGACTCTGTTGAGAGGTAAAAACAACAGGTTTCCATAGCAACCAAACACAAACGCCAAGTAATGTGGAGTTTCATAAATGCTGGTACGTTTTCAGCTGCAACTCTGTAGTTTGTTCCAATCCCACATCTATTGAGCTTTTGAAATACATTCCCTTTAGGGGTGTTTGGTGTAAAACAAAGGAGGAAATCCTGGAGGATGTGTGATGCTGCGGGCCTGCTTCTCTTGGGCACCTAGGAGTGCATTACATCATAAAGACCATGAAATTCCACAGCATTTAAATGAATAAATAATTCCTGCTATTCATTTAATGAATGAAAAAGAAAAAGTAAAGGGGTCGACCCCAAGAGTACCAAGGTACACATAGGCGTCAAATACACTACAGTCCTGTGGGGACTAGATACCAAAGTGAAGGAATAACTCATGATTTCGTTGATGATTTCTTAAGCTTTAAGCAGAAAATCATCATAAACAACAGAAGGCTAATAAACATCATTCTTTGTGGGATCAATCCGTGTCATTTATTGAACTGAGTCGATAAAACAAATCAAATCCTCAATAATATTCATGTTTACTGGATATGACTGTTTGTTACATCTGTAGCTTTCTGTAATAATTTGATCAAAGTTCCTTTTCTGATGCATGTGAGGTAGAAAGTAGGATTTAAAAGGAAAACACCCTATTTTTCCTCCCTCTTGTTATTCATCCAGAGGTGAGCAGGTGACTCGTGTTCATCTACCTGTAAAGTCATTTTGTTGAGATGTGATACTGAGGGACTCACCCTCTCCCTAATGACAAGGCACACTTTCACTCAGCGCCACGACAGAAGCTACGCAGCCCATGAATGTTCACTAGTATCACCTTTCCGTCTTTGTTGGCCTGAATGTAAAAACACACCTGCAGAGCATGTCGGTGAGCCGCACAAAGCCTACGTAGGCCAGTTCAAAGGCGCCTCGGTGCCGGGACTGCAGGAGCTGCTGACGGAAGTACAAGCCGACCCCCTCCACCTGTAACAGAGAGGCAGGGAATGCAGTCACAGCCCCACAATGGAAATGCCACTTTGATTTTAAAACAGGCTTCATTGGGAAATGAATGACATAAAAAGTGTAATTCCTATAAGTAAAGTCCATATAGTCAAAGCTTTTAAACCAAAAGTGTAGAAAACAGTAAAAAAAATAGTTTTTTTTTCATTTTCAGACTTTCACGTCTTTTAGACATAATCAACAAAAGACCACCTGACTAGTAATTGAGCATTCACACAAAAGAATATACCGGAAATCCTAAGATCAGGCGATAACACCAAGATTTATAAACACAAAACTGGAGATTAACCAAGAAAACTATTAGAAAACACCATCAGAAACTGCCTGATGTTTGAGTCACGCTTTGACCATTTTAATATATACATTTTTCTCAGAGTGGATGCGTTTTGAGTCCAACAGAGATCGATCAATCTTGGTCTGTGCAGCCACTTTCACTTCAACATGTCATTAACCAAGGACAGATGGACCCAGTATTCAAGCAGAGACAGTCAGTAGGAAAGTTCAAAATGTTTATTAAATAAAGAAAACTAAAGTGGAGCTGTGGCTCGCGGACACAGCTGGATGGGGAGCGGGGCACTCCCCAATCACAGACACTCTGGTTTAGTCCAAGAATGTCCCCAAGTGATGCAGTCCCAGAGGACATGCTGGAAGCCGATCCTGGTCAGGGATCCAGAACAGACAGGAACAGGATCCAGATCAGGCTTGAACAGACAGGTGGCAGGATCCAGGCTTCCAGGCATCCACAAGCTCCCAGGCAGGTTCTGAGTCTGACTGGGACCAGAAGCATGACCAGGCGGTCATGCACAGGAGCAGACAGGATCAGGTGAAGATGTGCAGGCTCAGTGGAAGAGGGTAGCCGAGACAGGACGTGGAACCAGAACTTGATGCAGGACTTTAAACTGGTCTCCTCCCCGGAGCCAGGATTACTGAGATAAAAGCTGAACCTCCCCCCATATAGAGCCAAAAACCCAGAGGACTCCGCGGGGGAGGAACAGTGGACGATCAGGAGACGAGACAAACACAAAAACCTGCTTTCCACAGGCTGCCAGGATCCAGGAAATGAACCAAGGAATAAAACTAACAGACAGGCTAACAGAAAGACAAATAATGATCTGGCCCTGAATGCTCAGGCTGAACTGAATATAACCAGAAGAAACAGGTGAGAGGAATAAATGAGGCAGGGAGGGAAAGTGGCAGGTGAAAGAGATCATCAATTAAAGAGGAGCAAACAGGCCAGATCATGGCACAACATGGTACTAACTGTTGTGAATGTCAAACCCACTTTTTTATCAGCTTGTGTGCTAAATTGCATCCAGTGTGTTTTAAGGGTAATGTCTGGGCTTCTCCCTCGCCTCTAATCCTCTCCTTGTTTCCTCTCTGTGTTCAGCTCAGACCCCAGCCTGGTTGATATGCTGTGATGGTTGATATGCTGTGATGGTTGAAGAAATATTCATCCAATATTTCTCCACAAAGATGCCAGAGACTGCTAAACTGAGAAAGAATACTGCTGAGATTCCTGCCCCGATAAATACTTTCTGTTTATCCCGATTGTAATTTAAAGGCGTCTAACCAGATCTAAAGGGATAATTACATGTGTTTAACCCAGACACCAGAATAAAGTCCCATAAAACAGAGTTAAGGCAGCAGCAATGTATGTGGATGTGGGTCAAGTTATGACAAACAGGTGCATTCAGAGATAACCTCACAAGAACTTTCCCCGAACCCACAACTGGGGTCAAATTTCAGGGGATTTTACCCAAAGATCAGCTTGTTTCATCATCGTAACCCCAGTCATTCCACAGCTTTTCTCTCTTTGAACCATTAGCAAATCACAAATTCATCCAAGAAAGATATATTAATGAAAAAATTTTTCAAATGGACTCTGCGTCTTAAGCCAACTCTTGTGTTTTCAGCACATCGAACCGTGAGAGCGGCATGTCAGTAGCGTGACAAGTGTGTTCAAATAAGGACGCTGAGACATCCGCATAATGGCCACCGTCAGTAAAACCATCCAGTTAGTAATAGCGTTACTAACGGTATTCTAACTATACACACACAGAGACGCGCTGTTTCTGTGGCAGAGTGTAAACTGGTGAGTGTGCTGCAGGTGAGGCGGCAGGGCGAGGCGGACGCAGCGCTCCGCTCCCTGTCATTAAGCCTGTGGTATCACCACCACCAGAGCGATGGCCAGGCCCCAGCTTAGTCAGGGGTGGCACGGAGGGCACAGGGAGGAGTGGCATGGTCCGGAGGAACAAACACACGCCGAGCAGGAAATACCGTGTGTGAAAACAGAAAGAAACACTTTTTTTTTTTACATGAATAGAAAAAACAGTGAAGAGATTAAGCAGAGACTTGCCCCTTATAGAGAAGCATGAAAAACTGAAAAACCTCTGGAGAAGAAAATATGTAGGGTTTAGACATCCTTTGTCTAACTTTTTGTTTTTGTTTTAAATCTTCCTTATGACGGGTCAGTAAGCCTAACTAACCCTGAACTGGACAGAGTGAACCACAGCAGAACCAAGCCCAGTGACTTATCACACTGGACTCCAGCAGTGGACTCCCAGGACAGGACTGACCTCACCGGGGGTAAAAATGGCAGCCACAGTCACCGTTAGATGGCCCGCGGCTGCCGGAGCCCAGACCGCTGTGGTGCTGAGCCGGGACGGGCTGAGCCGCCACTTCGCCTATTTAAAGCCCTCCCCCTCCGAAGGTTCCCGTCTGGGTAACTGTTAAAAAGGGCCATGCAAGCTTCCTGTGTGTGTGTGTGTGTATGTGTGTGTTTTGGGGGGACTTTATTTAGACATCAACTTCCTGTTTGCAAATTTGCCCGCTTCCCAGAAAAAAAATCAAGAGTGGCGAGAGGGAAAGATGTTTCCCTGAGTCTAATTACATGCATGGCTCAGGGCGCTGACAGAGACCCAAATAGCAAACTTCCTGTGTTAGAAAGAAGCCTGAAGAAGCTGCTGCAGGAGAAACGGCAGTGGTTCTGCTCTGCATGCGGTCCATTAATAAAAAAACAGGCTTAAAGCAAATGGATCAAATAATTCATCTTTTTAAGTTAAGCACATTTCTTTAGTTTGTAATTAATATTTGACAGAACTATTCAAGTATAATTATCTTTTTTATATATTATTTTGCTTTATTTTCCATAACAATTCCAGATTTCAATATTAAGAAAGATATTTACTTTATTTACTAGATTTTATCAGCTGATAGAGCTTAAAAACAGATCAGATCAGGTGCAACAGAGAGTAGTGAGGCAGCAGTGAGGTGTGTTGTAGAAGCGTTAGATGGGTTTATGAAAAGGTGGGTTTGGGTTTTGCTCTGAGGCTCTTTGTGTTTGCAGGTTGACATCATTTTTCACTCAAATATTTGCATAGAACATTGAGATCTGTAATAAGAGCCCGGGAAAAAAAGCCAATTAAAGGGGGACAAAATGCTTGGGCAAAAAATATAAAAAAGATGCTAAAAGCAGTAGTTGGGCTGATAATGGATGGCTTTGAGAGTGCAATTCACCATTGAAGTGAATTAGAGACTGCAGGCAGGGCGGAAAGAACGAGGAGGAGGGATGGAGGTGAGAAGTTTAATTTTTAAGTAAAACTAGTCGTGTCTTTCTTCTAAAAGTGCTAAAATCCAGATGAAAACGACACATTTCGCAACAAAGCTTTCTGAAAATCCTAAATTAGATTTTAAATGGAAGAAATAAGTTTTAAAATAAAACAAAAATGTTAAAATAAACTTGATAATCAGTCTGAAAACCAACATTTTTATCCTTTTGATTTTCATTGCTGTGGATTTAACTCCTGTCGAGGAACGACAGCTCAATGGATAAGAATGTTTTACAGAAAGTAGATATTTCTGACTTTATCCGCAAATCTTTTCCATCTTTTATCTGCTCCATGTTTTTTGGCCAATTATCAAAATCTGTTCGTGTCATAATTGCGTCGTTCCTTCAGTGATTAAAAAATATATGGTGGAAATAGTTAAAGAATTTGGGAAAAAAAGGAAACTCAGTGGCAAAAAGTGAAAGCAATACATCATTGTCCATCTAGGGACGAGTTGTTCCTGTTGCCATGGTTCTAAACCAAAAACAAAAACGTCCACAGGGCTGAAAACCGAGCCAATGGCGAGGTCCCAAAGGATCCCAGCTGAAGAGTGCAGGAGGTGTTCGGCTACCACATATTTTGGAAGATGCACGCTCGTTTCCCCTCTCATGTCGTCACTGTGGTGGAGCAGAGGGAGCTCTCCAAACTCCGCTGGTGTCGTCCCGGAGACTCTTCATGCCAGCAGGCTTCCCTGTTTGAGCGAAAATCCACACATAGTCCTGAACTAAGAGCAGGCAAAGGGGGGAAAAAAGGACGCGGTAGAGGTGAAGAGTTCAAATTTTCCTGTCGTCTCGCTGCTATAGCGTGCATCTGTTAAACCAGCAGTTATATAACAGGGGCCCCTGGCATGGTTACTGGAGACAACATGATATCTGGGATGTCACTGCCTATTATCTCTTCAGATTCTCCCTTAGGTGTTACAGCCTGAGCCCATCTGTCCAACAGTGCTCACTAGATCTTCAGGTGGATTTATGCTGCAGGATGTAGGAACAATAAAAAGAAAGTTCACCCTGAATTTTCAGGTATTTAACATGTCGTCGAGGGCTCCCAATATTTAGGGTAAGGATTTGCACAAAAATGGGGGAAAAAACTTTCATTAAGGTACTTTTGTTTGTTTAACATACCACAGCTTATAGGTAAATTAACATAAAGTACTTTAGTTTTGATCAGAGCTATAAATATTATTTATTAGGATAAAAAAAAGACGAGAAAGAGAAGAATGTTTGAAGCAGAGACGCATTTATCAGGCTCTTGAGTGACCCCAGAAATAAGAAGTACATCCTGTTCACAACGTCTTGTTTTTCACCGATTAATACATTTTTAAATAGGTTGATAAAGTTGTTTTGTGAGCTATTGTGCTGATTATGAACATCTGAAGTCTTCCTGTTTGCTCTGCTGGTCCAGAGGTAAAAACAAACATGCATTTTTCCCCTCCACCCCCCACACAGACAAACACAGGCTATGTCTGGGTCCCATGTTATTATGGACACGCACATGCTGAACCACTCAGACAAGCGTTCCTGTGTGAGTCCGTGTGAGCCGAGCGAGTGCCCGTTGTTGTGTGCGCCGCCGTTTGCAGCGTGTGCCGCTTCCCTGCTGGTGTTGGAAGTGATTTGGAAAGAATGCAGTGGAAAGGGAGGTGCGCCGCGGCCGTTAAAACAGTGGGGTTGCACCCCGAAATGAAAGCGCGGCACTAACGAGAGCGGATGCTAATTGAAGAGCCTCCCAGTGTGGGGTCACAAACGCACATAGACACTGAGGAGGAAGCTGCGGCTCGACAGCTGCTGGGTTCTGCAAGGACTCTGCTTTTTTCAGCCGCTTTAAATTTAAACATCTCTCTCAATCAGAACACTGAAATTCTGAAAGGGAACTCCCAATATTTAGAAGCCATTAACAGCACTTATTCCTCCAATGATCAGAAATACAGGGGTTTGAAAATAATAATAATAATAATAATAATACGTCTCAAATGTCCTCCAATTTTATCCAGTTATAAACACCATGGCTTTGCATTAGGATTTTATGACAACTTTCAATTAGGGCTGCAACTAACGATTATTTAGCAAATTGATTAATCAGTCGATTATTTTACGATTAATAATCGGATAGCCAGAGGTTCCTTAAAAATGTTTTATAAAATTAAACCAGGTGAAACTGAAACATTTCCCCTTAAGGAGCTCTGGATAGAGCATACTGACAGACGAAAACTTTTTTTTTTTTATCTTAAATGCAAAATGTACACACTCCAAAATGCAATAACTGCTGTAAGCGGGTTTCCCTGTCAGCTAAAGGCATGTTTTAGAGTCTCTATACTTCAAGTAATGATTAATCAATTACTAAATTAGTTGACAATTATTTTAATAATCGATTAATTACGATTAATCCAATTAATCATTTTAGCCCTACTTTCAACATAAAGTAGTTTGTAATTATGAAGCGGAAGGAAACTGATTTATGGTTTAAAAGGTGTGAATTAAAATCTGAAATGTGTGGCATCCTTTTGTTTATAGGGGTAGGTTTAAGATCCGGGTCTAAACTTTTATTTCTCTCAGAATCCTTCACATTTTTTATTTTCGATTGCTAATTTTGATGCCCAGTCCACCGACCGGGAATAGAAGCTGCTTAATATCAGAAGAATAATCTGCAACCTTCTTTTTGTGCAGCTGCATTCCAAAATAAGGCTTAAAAGGAATAAAAGACATGACCAGTCAGGTCATCTTGCCTTTGACCTGCTGCACTGCTGTTGTAGGTAGATTCCCTGAGGGAATTTGTTCCTCCTCTGAAGCCATAGTGCACCTTCTGCAGGGAGAGAGGAGCCTTTTTTACTATTGTCCTGCTTTACGTCCAAACAGATACCCACCTTATTTTTGATGCGTTCTCTAATGGGGATCTGCCAGAATTCTGACTTATTTTAAACATTTTAAACTATTTATTCTGCCTAATTTAAAATGTGTTTAATATGATAAAACCCCCTAACCGGACAACTGATTGTTCCTCAGTCCACAAAAGCATAACATCGCCTCTTCCACGTCTAGTAGAGTGGAAGCGAGATGCAGTAAACCAAGCTGAAGATATAAACTCTGTAGAGAGACCTACCGGCTCTGTTGATTTTCTCCTTCAAATGAAGCATTAATCCTAGCTTTGCATCGAGGTCAGAATCGGGTAAATGAACAAATCAAATTGCCTTATCTGGCATATGTACCTGAAACATCAGTCACTGGTAATATATAAATTAAACAAAGGTGAAAAATAAAATGTATGTTAAAGTTCAGTTATTTGATATTTATTTACTGGTTGAAAATCACCAGCATTATAACCATAATTTAATGCCATTATTCATAGTCAAAATCAGATGTTTAAGGAATTAAGTTTCACTGAGAAGTTCAGACCATTTCATCCTGACAGAACTCTGGTTAGCCCACTTATTTAAAACAGGTTAATGTTTATGATCCTTACGAATCAAAATCGAAAGGAACCGGAATCAAAACAACAACCAATCATAGGTAGGGGTAATTCTGCTCTGGTTTGGCACTAGTGAAGTGGGGATTGTCAAAAGATACTTAACATTTTCCTGGTCCGATACGGATTTAGGTGGCTGTGTGTAGCAGCCGATACCAAAAACCAATCCGGCTAATGGATGGACTTTATATATTACCATATGATTAAACACTTAAAATCAATCACAAATTACCAAAGACATAAATCATGACTATCTTCTGTCCATGCTCTGCGTAAGTACGTTACCAGCCTTGTAAACAGAATAGAGGGGCATTGTATTGTATTGTAATTGTACGGTATGATATTAATAAGAAAGAAAAGATTGGATCTGTGTGATTCTTTAGATATGTGATCCAGCCAAGTAGTAATTTCAGAGCTGATATCCAGTCCAGGTATCTGATCGGTGCATTTCTAAACTCATTATAGGCTGTTCTTACCGATGCTACATTATTCCACCAATGATTACCATAGCAACAACTCCTATTCCCTAATTCAAAGAATAAATTTTTTACCAATCCTTCTTTGTTGAATAATCTAAACTCCTTGAGATTAGACGGTAAGAGTCTGTGTCGTTTCATATTTTAGGTCCTATTGCAGATTCTAGCTTTAATTTAGGGCTGCTTTTTCACACCAGGATGTTTTAAACCCCCTTATCGTAGATCTGACTCTTTAGTTACGGTCAAACTTTTGCCAAAGAGGCTTAATGAAAAAAGATGTCGCCCTTCCAAAACTGACACACTTCCAAGCTGAAAAGCAATCTGCTGCTGAATACATCATTTTCAAACTAAAGAACATACCGGTACATTCAAGCAGGGTGGTGGCATCATCATGCTATGGGCTTTTTTCCCCCTCACCAAAGGTGCTAATTGCATTTTCCACAGCAGATGGAATAAGGGAGAAGAACACAGACAAAAATAAATATAATCAACTTTGAGATGGTTGGAATTTGGGACACAGCTGAGTTTTCAAACAGGAAAATGATCCAAAGAACTGATTCTGGAAGGCAGAAATCAGGTGTGCTTTAAGCTTCTAAAACTTCACAAAACCTTACCTCAAGCTCACTGAAAATTTGTTTACTTTGCTGAAAAATTCTTCTTACAAGGAACCAACAAATAAATCCGGACAAATTAAATCCAGAAGCTGATGCCAGTAAAATGCAAATAGTTTGACCAGATTTGAGGTTTTGTGTATAATTCTAACCCAATCACAGTAGTTATTGTTACATATATATAAGCCATGTCTGGTCACTGAAACTCTGTGGGATTTGGGCTGCATGTGCAGGTAAACCTGAACATAATGCTGTGATATTCATTATAATAAACCTCATTTTCCATCTCTGTGCATCTCCGCCTGTTATCCCAATCAGGCCTTTAAAGGTATCAAACTTATTTACAGCTGTTACGAAGAGCTCCTCTTTCAAAATGGAAACCATTTTCTGTACCTCAGTAAACTGATAATGACTGCATACCTGCTCCTCTGTGATGAGCCCGGCGCATGTCGGCTCGTTTTCATTGGTGTACTGCAGAGGCAGACTCTGACAGAGCTGCCCCAGCAGCATGGCCACTTCCTTCATGCTCCGCCAGCAACATACCAGCACCATCTGAGCCGTCACCCTGTAGCCTTCTCCGTCTGGAGCCAAAGCAGAGTCAGGTTAAAATAAAGCAGAACCCAGAGGAAGACCCTGCAGGTATCCATGGTTACAAATATTTGCTACTAGTTTTTTATTGTTTCTTTTACAATGCATTGCCTTCCTCATTACTACATGAAAAAAATTACACAGATTACTTTGATTTCTCCTCAATAAAAAGACAGAAGTAAAGTCAACAAAGTTTGCATAAACAGCAAAAAATATAAAACACCTCCCCCATCAGGATATCACTGGTACTACAACAGAAAGAGTGATTCAACAAAATACTCTCATGGTGAAAAAAGATAAATTTCTCCTCCCTCATCATTCTTAGATCATGATATTTATCATCCTGACTTAATTATTGATTTTTTCCACAGTATAAAACAAGAAGAAAGCTTAAATTAAAAACGTTGCTTTAGAGAAAACTAGACCAGACAGCCAGAAAACCAGTCAACTCTTTATACCGACTGTTAGTTACGGTGAAGGACGCTTGTTCTGTCATCATTAATTAAACAGAGAACTTCTCGGTTTACTAAACTATGGAAGTTAAGTGTGAAACCGTCCCTCCAACAACTGAAGCTTGGCCCAAACCCTATAGTGCAACAATCTTAGACACAGCAGTAAAACCATACAGTAGAATGACTGAAAAAGAGCATGCTGCTATGGTCTAGTCAAAGTCCAGCTCTTTATCTGATCTGAATCTTTCTAAAGCTGTTGGGGAATCTGCCGTCTTCTTGTCCATGTTTATTACTGGATAGTTAAACTCTAGAACTAAAAGCTGTAGCCATCCTCCTTTTCTGTACCTGTGTTTAGTGGTGGTGTGTGGGGGGTCCTGGACTGAGCTGAAGCATCATCTCCTTCCAGCTCTCTGGCGCTATTAAAGAAGTCGTTCGTGTCTCTGGGTTGAATCTCCTGCAGGATCCTCTGCAGGCCTCCAGACGTCTCTGTGGAAACAAACATCATAAACATGATCATGACCCTTTCCTCTCAGGAAGAAGAAGAAGAAGAGGAGGAGTGAGGATACCAGAGTCGCTGTCCATGGGGATGAGTCCCTCTGGGGAGGAGCTCTGAACCACCGGAGAGACAACGTCAGACATCCTGTAGCACGCAGCGATCAGCTCCGACGCCAGGCCTCTCCACTGCTCCGTCTGACTCCAACACCTCAGAGCACAGACACAGACCAACTATAAGTCTCAGAACAAATCAGATGTGCTGGTGGAGTAGAGATCATCACGCTGTGCTTCTCACTTTGTGTTTAGCTGCTGGAGGACAGCAGTGATGCAGTGCGCTCTGCCGTAAAGCGGAAATGAAGCAGCAGCCTGCAGAAGAGACGACTCGGCTCCTGACAGCTCAGTCTGCAGACAGCACAGCAGGTACCGGACCACTGGGAAGAGGAAGAGGAAAACGGTCACATGTCATCAACGAGAAGATCTGTTCAGATTCCAGCTGAGGAGTTTTACCAGCCAGCGCGTTCAGCTCCAACATTAGAGCCTCGGATGCCTGAGTCTGAAGGGGGTCGATCTGGAGGTCTAGACCTTGATCCTCAGCACATCCCAGCAGAACCGGGATCAGCTCTGGCTGCTGGAGCAGTAGGCTGAGTAGATGCGCGGCCGTAACGCTGTCATAGGGTTTGGTGCTGGTGCTGAGGTCCAGAGCGGCCTGAAGGACGCGGCGCATCGTCTGCGGCGCCTGGAAACACAAAGACATCAGTGCTGCTGCAGCTGATCGGTTAGGAGGATTAACAAAAACTGGAACAAAGGAAGGACAAAAAGGGCGCAAGAGGGAAACAAATAATGCAAGAGTTAAGGAAAGGAAGGATTGAAAGAAGAAAGGACATTAGAAAATGAAGAAAGGAAAGAAGGACAGGAGCGGAAGGAAACATCCAAGGACAGAAGGAAAGAAGGGAAGAGGAAGGCCAGAAAAAAGGTAGCACAAAAGGATGGAAAGGAGGCAAGACTCAATGAAGTAAGGATGGAAACAGTGAAGGGAGGAAACAACAGTCTGAGGAAAAAACAAAAACCTTCCAAGGCCATCACTGCAAAACAATGTAATCTAAATAAGTCATTTTTTCTTAAAATAAGTGCATTTTTTCTTGAATTAAGGATTTAAGTGAGACGCTTTGCCAATGGAAAAGGACAATTTACACTTAAAATGAGAAAAAATTATTGCATTGTCTTATTTCAAGAGCATAATATCTAGATACCATATTTTAGGAGTAAAAATACTCATTCCATTGGTAAATCATCTTATTTACCTGCTCAAATTAAGGGTAAATACTCTTAATTTAAGACATTTTTACTCATTTTGAGATCGTTTTTGCAGTGATCAGTCATATGCATGATTATAAAATATTAACATTTATGGCAGATATCACAGGAAGGAAAGAATGACAGTACAAATAAAGGTTACCAGCATTAAAACCAATATCAGACCCCCCCTGCCCAGTGTTTAGTTTAGCCGATTTAAAAGACATTAGAATCAAATCAAACCTGAAGTGCAACAGCAGCCGGAGGGAGCTGCCTTAGTAACGATGTGGCCAACTGTTTGACCTCCAGGAAATTGCTGGCCACGCAGTAGAGGACGTTCTGAGCATGTGCGGAGGTCACCACTTCTCCTAGGGCGAAAACGTCAGGCTCTGAGAAACAGACAGGAAGAGGACAAGGTGGTGGAGAGAAAGGAGCCCAGAAATACAGTCGCACAATTCTACAAGAGAATCTGCTTTAAAATTAAGTTTTAACTCTATTAGCATTTCTATCCAACCTCTGACCACCACCTTTATCAGCTGGATCAGAGATTGTAGGGAAAGGTTACCAGCAGTGAAGGTAAAGAGCTGAGCCAGCAGATTGAGCAGGTTCAGCGCCATGAGGCATTTGGAGAAAGATGCTCCAGGAAGCAGAACGTCCAGCAGGTTCCCACACAGCCAGCGCAGGAACTCCTGCAACCAGGAAAATACTCAAAATAAGACTTTGTTCACTTCAGATCATCCTGCCTGAGCTCCTCTACCTTGTACTGATGCAGGGAGTGCTGGTCTCTGGCTCGGCCCTCTGCTGCTCGTTCTTGGATGAGCCTCTTCTGCAGCAGCTGGCTGCTGTCCTTCACCCTGCAGAGTAACTGTAAGAAACAGCGAGATGGGGGGGTGATGAGAGCTGCAGTGTTCTGTTAGAAGCAACCTCCAGGAATCACATGGACATCAGCTCAGAGCCTCGCCTTCTTCAGCAGGCTGATGGTTTGCTGTCTGACGCCGGGCGACTGGCTGTTGAGGTTGGAAGGGAGGAAATGGCGGATGAGCTCCATCTCCTGTGATGTCAGGACCTCCGTACTGCGGTGGCTTTCACACACCAAACCCAGAGCGTCCATCCTCACCTGCAGAGGAGTCGAGTGTTTGAATTTTTATTAAATTGTAACTAGAAGTCTTCAGCAGCACAGCGATCTAAGCTTAACAGGATGGATAGAGGAATTGAAGAATATTTTCCAATCAACCCACAGATTCTTGATTTTGGTTTAAATCTGAACTTAAACTAGTCTGAACTATTTGATGGTAGATCTGTCTGAATGTTAAGGGTCATCGTCAAACTGGAAGGTGAACCTAAATCCATCTCTGGTTTTCTGCAGCCTCAAACACTTTTTATTTTCCAGGTCTAATCTGTAACCTTCCTCCATGATTAGCTTCCTCACAGCTTATTGTATAACTGGAACAGATTAACTTCCGGTAAAATAGTTCCTGCAACCAAGATCTAAACAGTTGTTGGTTTTGATTTATTTAATTATTTATTTATTTTTTACTATTAACTTCTGCTTTTTTTTTTTTATAATATTCCTACCTTTTGTTAGCTAGTTTTTTTTTTTTTTTAGATTTTTTTAATAATTTTTAATGCCTTCAAATGTATTGATTTTAATGATTGTCTTTTGCTCTGTTATAATGTTATGGTCTTTTAACCTTTTTTTTTTATTTTCCCTTTTTGAACTATAGCACTTTGAGATTTGAATTGAAATGTAAAGTGCGTTACAAATACAATTCATTAGTATTATTATTAGTTTAGTTTAGTTTTTTTTTTAATGTCAGCATCAGTTCAGTTTTTATTAGTTTTAGTCTTTTATGTAATACAGCTTACATACAGGGGGCAAGACTAAAACAAAAAAATAAATAAATAATAATAATAACAATAGAAATACAATCCCAGATAAGGACAGCCTGCTGTACCTGCCTACGGCTGAGAGGAAACTAGACCTCACTATGATAAACTAAGCACATTGTCTTAAAATTCAACTATTATTACAGCTTCATTAGTTAAGCTGTTTTTTAAGGTCTAGTTTTTATTTTTATTTCAGTTAATGAAATAAATATTTTGTTTTTTTTTTCTAGTTAATTAACGTTAATAACGTCGCTTGTGAAAAACTGCAAACAGATCAGACTCTGCAGCTCCTACAAATGTATGTCCGCTTGGTTTCCTCCCTCTCAGTAGGTTTGCAGTCATCTTTCCTTCGTAGCTGACAGATTGAAAAGATCTCTGTGAGACCTGTAAAGCTTGCAGTGTTGTTTTATAACCCACAGCTGCTTTAAAGTTCTCAGGTTTCTCCCTCACCGACCTTCCTTGGTCCTCATGCTGCTGTTTGATCACTAATGTTCACTAATGTACCTCTGAGGGCTCTGCAGAACAGCTGGATGAGGTTAAATGACATAATAGACTGCTAATAATCAGTGGTGTAACTGAAGCCGGATTTTTGGCTGCTTTGGTCTGCCGGCTTCCGTAGCGTCGTGATCGCGCATGTGCGCGCTTTCAGGAAATACTATACACTACTGTTTATGCTCTAAAAACATTCTAAATGACTTCGTTTCGAGTAAATTCTGGATGCTACCCACTCAGGACACTTGGAATACATTGGACGAGCAGTATGGAGGAATATTGACACGTTTTTTGTGGACTTTTATGGACCTTTCTGTCTCGGTCACCATAGACCTCCATTATTTGAATGTCAGCAGACAGCAAGAAGCCTCCCAGATCTCCAGATGCATTTGAGATATCAAAAAAGTACTCCAGGGTGTTGTTCAGCATGGGGGTGAGTAGAAAATGAAGGCTAATCATGTTTTGGGTGTACTATTCCTTTAAGAGTAAAGTTCACAACATGCTTTTCAGAATTCTACCAATAGAAAAGATTAGATCGATGAAATAATTCTACTTCCTCTTCATAATCATTTGTCTGTTTTGCGTTTGTTCATTCTATAAAACTCAATAAAGTTTGAGGATTCTAATTTGGAAAAACACCTGGTCGTGTTTGTGGATAAGCGCCGTCTGCAGCAGGGATAGCGGGACCAACCCCGCCCACAGATCATCCTCTGAGGACGCCATGACTCCCTGGGCCCTGGCTGCACGCAGGCAGGTCATCAAGGCTCCCAGTGCACCTCTGCTCGATGACGGACCTGATAAAAAATCGGATATTTTCTATTTGAAGCAGAAAAATGTAGAAAAAACAACAACAAAGAACCCTGAGGTGTTACTTTCGTACCCGTCCTGCAGGGCGGCGCATCCTGCAGGGCCTGCACCATGTGAGTCAGACTGGAGGGGCTGCATCGCAGCAGCTTAGGCAGGAAGTAGTCCAGTATGTAGGTGGTCTGGTCCGGCCTGGTGTGGCACAGAACATTCAGCAGAGGGTCCACCCAGGTTCGGTGCCAATGCTCCATCCAATCCTCTGACTCCCTGTTTGAGAGCTGCGCCTTGTGGCTGATGAACAGCCTCTCCAGCAGGTCGCTGGCATAAGGAGCCAGAGTCTGATCACCCATCAAGTCCAGGAGACGCAAAGGCAGCAGGGGCTGGATGCTCAGGAGGTGCTCCGCCCCGTGGAGCTCCACCAGGCAGCCCAGAGAGCCGTACTTCCCCCTCATGTGCCACTCCAGGCCCAGCAGGCTGTGAGTGAGCTCAGTGAGGTATGGATCCTCCGATGGCCTGCAGCTGGACGGCTTGGTGCGCTGATGCAGGCGCAGGAGGTTGTGGAACAGGGAGCGGGTTTGGTGGCGGACGCCGTCCAGAGGATGCTCCCAGTGGGAGTAGATGTGCTCCAGCAGGTGGCGCTGCAGCTCAGAGCCTCCACAGAGTGCCACCTGGAGGCTGGGGGGACAAAGGTGCTTCTCCTCCTGCAGGCAGTCCAACGCGGCCCCACTCCACAGCGTCAGAACTCGAGCCACAACCATCGCTGTGCTGGACTCCCTCACTCTGCAAAAACATTTCCAAATGGAAAATAACAAATTTAAAATTTTTTATTTAAAAAATAAAAAATTTTAAATGCAAGGATAAAAGATGAGTAGGAAAGCAGAGCTACCTGACATCCAGATCCATCAGCGTCTTCGGGACCAACAGCAGCAGCTCCTCCCACTGAGGCCCAGGCAGGGAGCCTTTCCAGCTCAACATGGCCAAAGCGCCGTGGCAGAGGTACAGAGAAACGCCTGGAGGCCGGTCGCTCGCGCAGAGGGCCTCACACCTCTGCCGGAGCCACTGAGGGGCCGATTCCAGACCCCCAACTGAGCTACGCAGCAAACCGCAAACCTGACGATAGAAACATCCAAAATAGGGCATCACACACAGGTACAATAAAAAGTCTCCCTATATTAACACAGAATCAGAAACCAATTACAAAAATGCAGAGGTGGGGAGTAAACAGGTACAGTTACTCAGTTACTTTTTTGTGAGTAAGTTTTTAGCAATAGTTTTACTGCATCATAATTTTGTTTTACCTAAATAATATTACAATGACATGTAGCTACTCTAATCAATAGCAACTACTGGAAAAAAACAAAAAAAAAAAAAACAGTGGACACAGGCCAATCGTTTTAGTTTAGAATTACATTTTTTTTTTTTTTTTTGCACAAAATTTTATTTTCATCTGTTGAGACATTTAGGGAAGGAGGGTTAAAGTGTATAAAATAAAAAGTATATATTGTCACTAGAGGTGGTTTATCCTGTTGTGTCATGCAAACTTTTTATTACTTTAAAGTTATAGTGGAGGATGTTCTTTTTCTGAGTGGATCATCAAAATAAGCGGTCCTCCTAATTGTCAATCATTCTGGTGATATGCTTACGTAAAGCCGTCCTTCGTGCTCGTCCCCATTTTTCACTTTCTGGTGGCGAGTCTGACATAGTGGAAAAATTACAAATCTTCTTTCGGAAAGTAAGCTTGTATGAGCGATGCAAACAACAGAGCAAGGTACATGCATCCCTCTCAGGTTGTGCATTTTTTTTCTTTTTTTTAAATGGAGAGGGCGGGTCTTTCACAAAAAATCCTCCACTAAAGCTTTAAGAAATGGTTTCAGATGTTATATATAAAAAAAGTGATTTTGAAAAGTATATATTCTGCCTCATTTTTTTTTCCAATTTTTTATTTGTATTCATTAAGCCTTTATCACAATTGGTACATAACTTTATGTTATGATCTGTTTAATCCACATCATTTTAAACTGTAATGTGCTTAAGTAGCTGAAGTACTTTTTTACTCGAGTAATTTATTGGCGACTACTTTCTACTTTTACTGGAGAAGTAATTTGTGGAAGTACTGCTACGTTTTACTTGAGTACGTTTTCTTGTTACTCTATCCACCTCTGCAAGTAAGGATTTCAGAGTCAAACAGCTATAAACGAAGCACAGCCTGCTTCAGGTCAGTTCTTTTCTACACACCTTCCACCACAGCATCTTACTCAGGCTGCATTCTGGGCTTTGACTAGACCATTGCAGCACCTCCCTTCTTTAATCTTCAGCAGATAAGTAAATGTAAAGAACACAGAGGGCATGCTTTCTGTAGAACTCACCACAGATGCGACTTCATCTCCAGAGCCCATAACAGACCTGATGAGCAACACCACAGCCATGCCCGCCGTGCTCTGAACAGCCTGAACAAACTCTTCTGTATGTGGAGAGATGATTCAACCAGGAAAATAAGCGTTACTCTGTGAAGCTGAGATCAGATGTTTACAGATAAAGTCACGCTGTGTGTAAAAGCGTCTCACCGTCTGTGAGGATGTGTGTGTAGCAGCTCAGGAGGCCGCCCAGTGTGTCCGGCTGAGCCTGCAGCACGTCACCGATGGCCTCCTGAGATCTCTGAAGCACCAGCATGGAGGTTTTCACTGCAGCCAGGCACCACTGCATCAGCTGGGCCTGAGCAATGTGTCGGCCTGCAAGACCGCTGAGCAACCAGCAGGGGGCGACAGACTTAAATAAGTTGGAAATAGGTTGCATAGATGAAAACCTTATTTTACTAAGATGTAATAACTATTTGAATGAAAACTATATGAAATTAAGACTGTTAAAAATCAGGAAATGTCTGGAGAACGTTAAACTTTGTGACCCAAATATATATATATATATATATATATATATATATATATATATATATATATATATATATATATATATATATATATATATATATATATATATATATATATAATCATTTAAGACATTAAATATTTGATGCTAAGGGTTCTGGCATGTCTTTAAACTAGTGGACCAACATCTGGAAATCAACTAATCAAGATTAACTCTACTCAGATTAAAAAAGTAAAACATCCAACCAGGAAAGATTCTTCTAAAAAACATTTCCCAAAATATAAGAGAGGCTTTATGTTTATATTTGAACATTGAAAGTATAAAAACTGAAGGTACCACAAACTAATACTAGTGCTCCCCACCATGATGCTGCCACTACCATGCTTGAAAGTTAGTATTTCTTAATCCTGCATGGTTTAGAGAAAACATTCAATACCCTGCAGCCATATGTTGGCTGATCCCTCCAGCCTAAAGCATGATGAGTTCAGATATAATAACATTCCTAATTAGCTCCATCAGATCCGTCTCTCATAGTTGCCAACAGGTTGGATTTTTAAACATCTATGCAAAAACATGAGTTTGTCTTCATACCGGTTCTGGTGAAGGTATTCATGTAAAACCTTGCTGATGAATTTTAACACTATAAAAAACAAAGAAAAAAGGAAAGACTTTGATGAGGTTCAGTCTGTAAAGATGAAACTCTTTCATTTAATTGAAAGTAGCAGGAAGTGACACCAACCTTTAAGCAGCAGCTTGTGAATGCATCTCTCACCTGGAAAAATACAATTTTCCTCAACTTGTTAATCTACTGGTTCATTCAGCAAAAGCCAAATTGGTCTGATCCACACTTACCAGTGGGGAAGCTGTCCAGGCAGGCGGAGATGGTGTCTATGATGCGAGGAAACTGTTCTGAGCTTGGACTGGACAGGAGGTCAGACAAACAGGAAGACAGAGTGTCTACGGTCCGCCCCTGAAGCCACTTTGGTACTGAACCCAGGGAACTGAGCAACAAAACACAGAGGAAGGTTCTGCTAAGAAAGTTTATTCTTCTTTAAACATCCTTATATCAGTGCCTTGCAAACTATTTAGAGTATTCAACCCATGAGTTAGTGTCAAATACAAGCAGCATCGGCAGCTGCAAGTCTTTTGGGTACCAGTCTACCAGCTGTGCACCTCTGGAGGCTCTAACCTGGATTTAGATCTGGACTTTCAATGGCTCACATATATTTGTATTGATCTAAACCAGGTAACTCAGGCTTTACTTTTAGCCGCAGTCCTGCAACAAGATACACCTCCTCCCCACATTATAGTGGTTTAATCTCTACCAGCAGAAACGCATTCTCACAGCAAGCTACCGCCGCCAAATGAAATGTTGTGTTCTGGTGTTTTTTCTATCGTTTCATTTTTGCATGTAGATCAAAAAGTTTCCTCTCTGTCTTAACTGACCAGAGCTGGGTTCATACAGAGATCAAATGAGGTACAGATAAACTGTATATGTTAACTAAAGAGACTTATAATAAAAAGTGTATCAGAAAAAATGGGAACTTAATGCAAATATGCATCATATTTTTAGACTATAATTATAAAAAAAAAAAAAGGATGAAACTCAAATAAAACATGACAGAGTATTAAAAATGAATGTACTTTTCACTGTAATGTGCTAGTTCTCATGTGGGGAAATGAAGTAGCTTATTTTACCTGGCAACAGCCCTTCTAAGGGGGTTCTTAGGCTGCACAGAGGTATAGACCAGAGCTAGAGTTTTCAGACAGACATCCAATGCATCATCAGCTTCTTCCTCATTCAGAGCCTCCAGCTGGGATCCTGCCTGATGGACACAAACGCATAGCAAAATGCATGTGTGGATGCATAAACCTACCAGAGAAGATCATATTTCCCTCTGTGTTTACCTTTTTTATTAGCTGGATCTGTTGCACAGGATCAGTCAGCTCTAAACAGGACTGCAGGGTGTGGGAAAGCTGTTTGACTCTCTCTGCTCCTCCATCTACAGACAAGGAGGCTTGGAGGGAGAACAGGAGAATAAGGTGGTGGAAATTCAGGACAGATAGAGCAGTTTTATGGTATAAATCTCACCTATAAGCTTGCATAAAGTCTCCTCATCCAGTGCCACCGCCTCTACTTTAATAGTTTTCTTCTTCACCACCATGACTTAATGTCTGTTACCTATAAGATGCTGATAGAGTTTAAATATTTGTGCGCAACTACTTATAAACACAAACAAATGAAAGATTAAAAAGCAGCTACCTCCGTTCTGCATGTGGTCTTCGGCTTTTGTCTATACCGGAAGAAAATAAAAGATCCTGTAGATTTTCGCAATAAAATATTCCCAAACAGATTATCTTACATTAGAATTAAACGTAAAACCAAAATAAAGGTTAGTGTTTTTAGACATAATAAAATTAAAAGTTGGGGAAAAAAATGTTTCTAAAACGAACTCTATAATTATTGTGCAAAATCGAAAAAGATTATTTTGAAACTAGAGTACTTTGTTCTTCCTGGACACCCTAGTGACGTCAGAGAGGTTTGCAGCGGGACGTTAACTCGGTCGCCATATTGGAAGGGTAATCAGCGAGCTAAAAAATATATATATATATGATTTTCTTTAAAAGAAAATCATGCGACATCGTATGAATGTTGCAAAGTTTATAGAGTATACATTAATCCTAAACTTTTCTTTAATAACGCACTGTAAAATGCCTTAGGAAATTGTGTGTTTTTAAGGTAAATAAAAAAAATATATATTGATTGGAATCAAATAGAATAGAATTGCAAATTCCTTTATTGTCCCACAATGGAGAAAATGTGATGTTTACAGCAGCAAAAGGTTATAGTAGACGTGGTCACACAATGTGCACCTTAGAAAAGTGTATAAATATAACAGACAGGAAAATAAAACAAATGGAGTTTTTTTTACTGTGCAATATTTTTAACAATATAAATACTCTTTATTTGAAGAATTTGAAAAAAAAATCAATAAACAGAAATTTTTTCCGCAAAACCTGAGATGAGCAAAACAAAAAACAAAAATCAGTAATTCAGTTACAAAGTGAAAACCGACCAATTATTTAATTAGACAAAGACTAATGTTTCCATGCCTTTATTTCTGTCAAAAAAGAATTATGAATATGATTCGTCTTTGCTTTTTAAAAACATTTTAGATTAGAAGTTTATATTAAACCAACAGAATAACATTTTCATATAAAATGTGCAGCTAGTGGAAGTAAAAGCAATTTATCGAGCTTAATAACTACTTAAATGTTCCAATCTAAACCTGACAGAAAAACTTGACGAAAAGACACATTAAACTATTATTATTATTATTATTATTATTATTATTATTATTATTATTATTATTATTATTATTATTATTATTATTATTATTTGTTACAGTCCCTCTAGGTATCAACACTCAGGTTTTTTTAGTGGTAGATAAATCTTGGTGCGTTCAAACACAATCGGAAATTACACTTTTTTCATGAAAAACTTAAATAAGGTTCTCGTTAAGTTTGCTTGCTGTTGCCCTTGTGTGTACTAACCATCCTAGATTAAAAATATAAATATTTTTTCAGCAATCATATGCTTTCCAAATACTATGAAAATAGCGCATGAGGGGAGGGATACATCGTAGGTCAAAATATAAGAGCCAACCTTACACCTGCAGTAATTCCGCTTTTCATTCATACGGGATTCTGCTAATGAAAATAATTCAAAAGCTTCCAGTTCACTTTTTTCCTTCTTTGAAATTTAGAAGCCGGACTTCCGGGTGTAACGTGAATGCATCATGCAGATCCCTCTGCTCTGAGAGCCGCTATCCAGCACATTATTGGTCGCATTTCATGAAGCCGCACCCTCCAGAATTAAAAAAAGAGAAAAAGATTGCAACCCGTGTCCAACTTTTCCCAGTGAGCTGAAATGAAAACCTCCCGGAAAAGGCAGCATTTTTTCCTCCTAAATTAGGATTTTTTAATGTGGCTGGGTTGAGCATGGCGTAAAGTCACACTGAGAAAGAATCAGCATCAGTATTATAACGGGTAAGTTTTGCTTTTATTGTATAGGAAACTCTGCTTTATTTTGTAACTTTTTGAACTACTTGAAAGCTTTCCTATTTATCTATGGGAATATCAAAGTATTTCCAAAGTTAACAGCTAGTAATAGATCTACAGAGAATCTTTTCCATCATTTAGTACTTTGTAGTTAACTGTCAACTCTTTTGCTATTAATCAATTATCAAGTAGATTTAATTATAATGTTTTCAATAATCAGTCTATTTAATTCTGGTGTGTGATAGCTTTATGAAGCACAAAAATCAGAACCAACCATCTGTCATTAATGCATATATATGGTTTATTTACATCAATTAATATTTTATGGGGTAATAGAATGGTGTATGTACAGTAAAAGGGGTTATCTTCACTGGTTTGTTGAAGTATTCATACCTGTTGTACTTATTCACATTCATACTGACCTTGGGGTTATTAGGTTTCATGTGAGAGACCAGCATAAAGTCATGCTAAATTTTCAGCCCTCCTAAGTCAGTACTTGTTAAATATTTTTGTTTTTGTTTGTTTTTTGCTGCAGTTCTAACTCCAAGTCTCCTGGGTTTTGTCTTTAGCAGCTTTTCTCACCTAGAAAATAAGACATATCCCAATTTATCTTCGCATATTAGTTAATAAAGTTCAGATTTAATAGTAAATGTTTCTGAACATTAATATGAAAAAGATTCTGTTTGATATTCAGGTCTGAGCTTTTACTAGTCCATGCTAATACATGATTATTTAAGGGAGTTTTTCCTCTCCACTGTCGCTACAAGCATGCTTAGAGTGAGGGATTGCATTTGAGTCAATGAGTTGATGCAATCCACTGGTTTTCCTAACATAGAACACTGTAAAAGTGCCTTGAGATGACATGTGTTGTGAATTGGCGCTATAGAAATAAACTGAATTGAATTGTTTAGGGTCCATGTCCAGTAGAAAGGCTTACCTTCAACCCAGACAGCTGCTATGGATTCCCAGTTTTAACTCATTGCCTCTTTCCAATAACTTAGACCGGCTTCTCTATCCCTGCTAAAGAAAAACATCCCCTCACCATGCTCCTGCCACCACCGTGCTTTACCATTGCAATTTTTCACTTTAAGTTTCCTGCCTCATTAAGATCTTTCTATGTCCCCCTGAAAGGTTACCTTGGTCTCATCCAGTAGCAAGTATATGGGTCATTTTTCAAAGCACTGGAAGAGTTCATACAGATGGACCCCATATGTTTTAGTGTGCTTAATTCTGCTGCTATATGTGGCCTTTCGTTGTTGTTTTTCTGAGCCGTCGGCTCTTTTTATTTCTAGCCTCCGTCTGTCTTTACCGCAGCCCGGCAGCAACAGAAATAGGCTTGTGGAAAAAAAAGCAGTTTTATGGCCCGCCACCACATATGTTTGCTGTCTCTTTGAGAGGGACCTCAGGCTGGTAATAAGAGGTTAGATTTGGAGTAGAGAGAGAGACAGAGAGAGAGAGAGATTGTCTCCATCACAGATTCTCCTGCGTCTCCTTGCCCTCCCCCGCATCTTCTGTCTGTTTTTTCCAAAGTTTGCCATGGAAAATGTGAGTTTGTCCTAGAAGAAATATGTCAGCATGTTTTGGCTATGTAGAGAAATGCAAAGATGCTCCCAAAAGTGGTTCAGCCCAACACAGGCATAGCAAAATAATAAAAAAAACAAAAAAGAAGTGCAAATTTTAAATCTTGCATTCTCCTAGAGCAGTAGGTCCATGTTTCTTTTTGCCAGGGGTGTTTTTTTAAGTAAAATAGGATCTATCTCTAGTTCTATTTAACAATATCAATGTTATTTTTAGGTGCTAAGCAATGCAATGATTAGATGCTACTCCTAGTTAATATATGATTTTTTTTGTTGTATCTCTGCCCTCTGTTCCTCACTGCTGTTCAGCATCATGGCGGAGGGGGAGGAGGCCATGAGCCAGGAGGACTGGAAGGAGAGATGCACGCTTCTAGAGGCGCTGCTTGTGAAGTTCAGGGTCCAGATCGTGAAGATTCGAGAGCTCACCGCAGACAAGGTTGGTTCAGAAGACTCACTCAGTGTCTGAGGATGTGTCGATAAGACTCCTGGTTGGTTCTGGCCTAATTAAAGTTTTCACAGTCAGAGAACTGTCTATACCACCACAGTCCAGCCATGGTGGGCAGTGGTTAGTAAATCATAACATCTCCAGGTGCTCGAGCATCTAACCATGGATGTTATTTTTTTGTTTTTCAAACGTCCGTTTTTGGTCCCTTGCACGTTTTACTGTCCAAAAACAATGTTACGCTACGGTATACAGACATTCGTCGAGCACTAGGACCCCGCAGCTCAAGCTGAACCCCACTGAGTTTCGATGGCCCACAAGCTCCTGATTGGCCCTCCGTCCTTTCTTGTGCTTTCTTGGCTGTCACTACTGTCAGTCCTGAGAAGCTCACTTTACAAACATCTGATGCGTCACTTAATCGGGTCTCTGATTGGATGATCAAACATGCTGAAGTTAGTTATATTAAAAAATACTTTTTAATAAATCAAAATGTTGTCCATGATCCAGACAGAAGGATGTTTGACTGCTGTCTCCTGGGTACTTTTTCATTCTGTACTCCACCCATCTGGCTTTTGTCATGGGTACTGAGGTGGCTATGAATGTTTTTTGTGTGTCTGGTGAACAGTTTCTGTGCTTATTGGTTTATAAGTTTTAAACCATTATCCTGCAAAAAGACCCAGTGGTGACCTATGTTCTGGCTAAGACCACTAGATTATTGCTTAAAGGGGAACGCCGTTTTTTTTACATTGGGCCCTTCATTTTAAGTTATTACATCATGTTCTACTCACCCATATGAGTCTTGTGTCATTTGGAGCCGTTCTGAAGATATTCGGTTTTGTTATATCCAAGTAACATCTTCCTATGGGCAACGACTTGAAGGCACAAACTAAACTGTTCATAATTTATTCTTTATGGTACGCCAGCATTCATAACATGTAGGCGAATCACTGTCCCCCAGACATCCGCGGTTATAATATTTATATTTATATTTTTTTTAAACAAAGCGGAGTGTGTATAACGTCATCCGCGCGCGCCGCTACCATTCATTCATCCCGTCCGCTGAACGGCTGCTAGTTTTATTCACATGCCTGGAAGATGTCTAGTTCTACTACCACAGATGATCTCGCTCTCCAAATGGAATTGAACGATTCAGATTAGCTCGCCGAATGAAGGGGTAGAGCGTAGCCACCTGTGACCCGGGCTGCCTGTCACAACTCCAGTCCGGTGCGCGGATGACATCATACACGCGCCGCATTGTTTTTAAAAGATATAAATATAAATAATATAACCGCGGATGTCTGGGGGACAGTGATTCACCTACATGTTATGAATGCTGGCGTACCATAACGAATAAATTATGAACAGTTTAGTTTGTGCCTTGAAGTCGTTTGCCCATAGGAAGACGTTACTTGGATATAACAAAACCGAATATCTTCAGAACGGCTCCAAATGACACAAAACTCATATGGGTGAGTAGAACATGATGTAATAACATAAAATCAAGGGCCCAATGTTAAAATAAACGGCATTCCCCTTTAAAATTGACTTGTTTATCAAAAAATTGATGATGAAATTCAGTTTCATCTGCTTGACGTGTTAAACTATTGCTCTGACTGCAGATGTAGCCAAGTGTATAGAATGATTCCTATTCGTGATCCTTTACTGATGTGAGAAGGATATTCTTTATTTCCCATTTTGAGCACTAGCTAAGAAACCACAATGACGTGCAGCGATTGGACTTTGGAGTTGCTCCTTATCTTAGCTTGGAAAAGACAGAGCATTTAAATTTGGGTAAATCTCACACCAACAAGATTCTGTAAGCTTTTCCGAGTGGGTTGAATATCCCTTATCTTGCTTGGATACACATGAATACTCACACTCTTTACAGTTCTTTTGTTCTTCCATCCAGTTATTTATAGAATATCCATTCTCCCATCAGCCCAAGCGTTAAGTAGATCCAAAGGAGGCTGAAGAAGTGATGCCACTCATGCAAACATCGACTGTATTGTTTGACAGATTGTCTTTGGAAAGATTTAGTTACAGCACTAAAAAAATGCCCTCATAAGTAAAGGAAGGGGTCTGAGTTCAAAGAGAGCGCCATGGTGTTTCTGCAGGGTGCAGACCGGCCCATCCCTCCCAGCCGGCCCTCACTGGGTTGGCCCTAACCGGTCCGTGGCCTACATCTGACGCCGCTCTCCAGGGATGCTGATTAGAGCTCTAATGTAAACATCAGTCTGACCACGGGGCTCCGCCGTGCATTGCATGATGGGAATGAAGCAGCTCCAGTCAATCACAGAGCCCTGCTGGAGCCCACAGCAAAACAAGCTCCCAGTGAGACTTGAAAAAACAGGCTTGGGTGTGCTTGTTCAGCCCACGTTGAACAAACCAAAGGATATCAGTAATCCTTCAGTCTGTCCTGCAAATCAGAGATCACTGATTTAACCGCCTGGCTTTGGAGTTCAGTCAGAGTTCAGACGCCTTTGGTTTAAAAGAAAAAAAACAGCAAAAACTTATAAGGACAAACTGGGGGCCAAAAATGTAACAGTTTCCTCTATTTCACATTGGATGCTTCCTGTCGCTAGTTAATTTAGCATAGGGACTTCCCTGGGTCCCTTCCGGTTTTAAGGAGCTATAAGGAATCCCACAATTCTTTGCTTGACTGGAAGTGGTGGCACATTCCACCTCACATAGTTGAAGAAAAATACATGATTTCTTCAGGATACATGCAAATACACACCTTCGTATATTTTTGGTTTTAATAATGGAGAATACAGAACTCCATCCATTTGCTGTATTTGTGTAACTTGTGTTTTGTAGTTCTTTTTCTGAAAGTCGTCCCAGTTTGACAAATATTACCCGTGCAAATGATTCTTGCTTAACTCTCAATACACAGAAGACTAAGTGTATTTGCTTTTTCAATCAAGAAGACGTCATTACAGCCCTTGAATATCCAGATCAATGGGGTCCCTATTAAGCAAGTATCACAGAAAAATATTAAGTTATAATCATGGACGCTCAGTTAAATTTTAGGATCCATGTTAATAAAATCTGTAAAACAGTTAGATCAAATATAAACAGTTATAAAATAATAAGAATTTTTGTTTAACACTTCACTGTGCTGAGATTTGGCATTTTGGACTTTCCTAATAATATAAATAACAGCCTTTTAAAATTTATTTTTAAGTGTTTAAATGGATTTGCACCTACACTATTAAGCAAATCCATACAGAGATTGCAGGGCAGTAGCAAATCCATTAGCGGCTTTTGCTCAAAGTGCCGTGTCAATGAGAGGATCTGCAGTTTGGAACTCACTTCCTGTTGATTTAAAGTCTGTAACTAGTTTTACAAAATTGTGGCTTTTCACTGTTTGTTTGTAGATGTTGTCAATATTATGTTGTACTATTTTAAATTTAAATGACTATCATTTTATTTTTTAGCTGTACTTTTTAAAAGCCCACCTAGGAATAAGTGCTTCGAATTAGCTGTTGCCTTTCAGTAGGACACAAACATGAGACCGCTGCTCTGTTCAGGTTGTCTATGTCGATGTCTGTCCCTATCAAATAAAATTTAAGCGTATAAGTAAGTTTCTGTTTGCCGCGTAATGATGTCTCTAAGAATAAAGGCTGGATTGAGCACAGCAGTCCAGAGCTCATTTCATACCCATGATGAAGTTCTTATTGTTGACCTGAAACAAAGAGAAAGAACAGGAGCAAGGAGCTACAATTTACTATATTCTGGTTTAGCCAGGAGCTAAATTTTTTTTAAAGAAATAAGATAATTTTATGTCATAAACACAAAACAGCTAATTATTGCAGGGTTTTCAACTGTTATTTTACTCCTGTTCAGCCTCCTGAAGCATAAATGACTGAATGAATGAATAAGGGGCCCGTTTGAAGGCGAAAACAAACTTAAACCAGCCAGAGCTGTAGAGGAATAGTCTAGATTAAAGCCTATTCATTGGTTAAAATGGCCTAGTCAAAGTCCAGAATCAACTGCAAGACTTGGAAAAAGACAACAAGGTAAATTGAAACCCTAACAAATCTGTCTCAGCTTTATTTAGAGAATAAGACGCTAAAAGTTAAGACTCATAGTTTTTATTAGCTGTGGGCCTTGAATCTGCAAACTATCTAACTCATGCCTAAAAATGCACAATGCACTTTGATATATTAAACTACAGGAAATATAGAAAAGATATTAAGTTTTTCTTCCACTATTTAACATATTCCACAGTAAAATCACAATAAAATACATTACAGATTGTGGTAGATAATGAAAAACTATAGAAAAGAACATTATAAGAGTACAGATATTGCGCAAGGCAGTATATATATCTAAGCATTAAAGTGATGATGAGTCTCTGCATACTCATCATGTTTAGCTCTTTGAAAGATAGAATCAGCTAAATGGATTTAGCACATAAATTAAAGGTTAAAGCTGGATCTTAGCTCAGTCTGGTTTATTCCTATAAAAAGTTCGTCATCCAGCCATTTTGTGGATGTTGGGGCATACATGTTCAGAGACATTAAGATGCATTTAAACCATCTGGCAAGTCCCAGATGGGAACCTGCTTTAATACCAGGAGTTTTTTTTTAAAGTCGTTTTTATGTGAGCGCAGGACTCAGGGTAAAAAATGGAGATAAAGGGAGCCTTGTGTGAAGAGTGAGCAGCCCAGGGGAGGAAATACCCGCTTTGGTAAATATTATGCGAATGTGTGTGTGTGATATACAGGAAGCGTGTTTGCAGGCTGAGGCAGTCGGTTATTCTGGGAGTGCACATGAATGCGTGCAGGTTGGTTCCCATCTAAACAGTTTAGAGGATTTTTGCACAAGAATGAAAACTTGTGTTGTGCTTGTTTGGGTTGCTGCTGTTTGGGAGGGACGTTAGTTTTGGCTGATGGGGCCTGGAGCAGGAACAGAAGGCCACACATTTTTCTACAGAGTGCTGCATTCTCTATGATTTAGTTCCTTTGAGTCATTTTAGGACCAAACCTCATC